AAATTTATACAATTTTAATATCAGTTCAATATTAGTTTCATACTTTTTGAAATCTTAATAACAAATAAAAATAATATTTAAATTATTTATTTTATCTAAAAATTGCAATTTTTATCTATATTTAAATTATTTATTTTATCTAAAAATTGCAATTTTTATCTATATTAAATTTATATTAAAAAATAATTAAAAAAACTTTAATAATATATTTTATAAAAAATCTTATATTAATTTTTTTCTTTAATTTTTAAAAAATATATATAAAAAATTTTATATTATTTAAATAAGGTTTTATAAAGTTATAATAAAAATATTAAAAATAGTTTTTTTTTTGTTCCAGATTATATATATTATATCTAAATATTTAAATTCAAATTATATTCAATTAAGTTATATAAAAATAATACTTTTGATTTTTTTAATAAAAACATATTAAAGTAAAAAAAAAATTATATAAAAAATTTTTTTTGATTTAATTTTGATAATAAGCTTATAATTTTAATTGTCATAACAGACTTTATAGTACAATATATTAACTCGAAAAAAATTATTAATATAAATATTAATATATAATAATACCAATTTTAAGAAATTTTTCAATAGCTTATTATATATATATTAAGAAATATATATTTATATTAAATATTTTTTAATATTATAGTTATATAAGTTAAAGATAAAATATAATAAAATAGTTATTTAATAATTATTTTTTATATCAAAATGTATGGTTACAAAAAATTGTGTTATAATAAGTAATGTATTCAAATCATATGATTGTTTAGTTACCAAAATTATGGAATATAATGCAAGTCAAATTATTTTGTTTTACTGTGTCATAAAAATCATAGGCGAAATACATTCTTAGAACTTTCTCATCACCTCTCAATACTTTTCGAGCTTCATTCAAAATTCTAATTGGAGGATCAACTAAGATCTGCCTATGTAGTTACCAGGAATCAGTGCCAAACTTGTTTGCAATCTTATCTTTCATGACCTGTTTGGTTGCTGAATAAGATTTAATAAGAAATCTAGCTATACCATATTTATAGATTCTCGAGACTTTCTGCTTTTTTCTGCCTATCCAAAGTTATACTTTATTATTATTTTTTTATATATTATTCTAACTTAGAATACTGCCAAATATATTTTTTATTTTATACACTTGCATTTATAGAATTCTTTCTCGAATAGTTGCTATTTTGCAATATCCCTATATCTGATTACTTTAGATACTACCACATCGACTATTTTTAGATGCTATCATTAGCTTAATAGTTTATAAGTTTATATGGGATTTTATACCAGTTACTTGCATATACTACCATACTTGCACAAAAAAAATCCGGGATGTAATAAAAGAAGCAACTAGATTCATCTCTGGCTTAGTCGACCTAGATTATGAGCCTTGTTATAATTATCATACATATTTAAATATTTGGCCAATAGAAAAGATGACATTTCTCTTCTAGATGCTCATCATCCTGAAGAGATTTTTAATAAATACATAATTCGGGTGGCAGAAAAGGGTTTTACAATAGTTGGAATACCCGATGCATTGCTTCTTCGCCTAGTTCTTGATATTGATGCGAAACAAAGAATATTTTTTTTCTTATTTATATCCTGATTTTAAAAGTAATAAAAAGTATAATTATAATGGCACTAATGCTAATGGCTTAGCACATGTTTAGAGGCAATGTTTGGCCAAAGTTAATTCTAATACATACTTATGGGCATTACAGAATTATGGATGGTGTAATATCTGCCCTAATGTACTAGAAAGAACATGTCGACATGTTTTTTAAAGATTTATTAAACAACTCCGAAAACCTAAATTCTTGGAAGGTTTCGAATAAAGTGGTAATAAACATTACCAAATTGTGCCTTTTTTCGTCTGCAAGGACAGATGATTCTAGATACACAAATTTGATGTGACTGGAAAAAGAGTGCACTATATTATAGAGAAGGAGTAATCCTTGTCAAAATTCCCTATTGCGTCGTTGATTTAGAAACTTTTATAGGAAGCGCCTTGCATGTATTTGACTTTTTTCCAATAGGAACCATCTAGGTGGTAGCATAGGCACTTCCTTAATATACATCAATTGTTTTCTTACAAAGGGACGTTGAGGTCCTGAATCATCTGAATAATATAAACAGGCATCGGGGATTCTTTCCAACAACAATCCTTCGAATCTTATGGAGGCTAGGCGACCATATAGGGTCCATTATTCTATATCGCTCGAAAGGATCATTTTCCACTCTCCAGATGCAAGTAAAAAACAGACGGCCTTACACTTTTCTAATTGTGGTTCGTCAACACCTATTGAGCGATTGTATTTTACCGATGATTTGGGATATATTCACTAAAGTTTTGTGGTATCATTAGGATTTATCCCAATTAACTGAGTAGAAGTATCATCATGTTACAATATCAACAATTTTCCTTGCAAATCGCTTACATTCTCTACAGCGCTCGCCATTAGGTAGGAGTAACTCTATTGCATACTAGTTTTTAAAAACCAAATTCAAATAATCTAGCATAACGATCGACCATAGATTTTATGTTTAAAACGTGCCTTGATTCTTCGAATATTAACTGTCACACTTTCCGTAAACTCATGATCTTCATCATATTGCAATAATTGGAGGATTATTATATATAATCTTAAATGCTTCTGCAACTTCTTCACTACTTTTTGACATCTTTATATTTAATCGTGCAATCTATAACCAATAGTGCATAGTAAAATATTGGCCCATTATCCAGCAAATCTGTATCCATATCTTCATCATATAGTATTTCGATCAAATCACATTGGTGCACGGTATTTTCGAATATCTTGCATAAAGAATATGCACGAAAGATTTGATATATTGCCTGACCATCAAGCCATTATTTTACATCAGTAAATAGAAAGGTATATCCAGCTTTCTTGCAAGCATCCCATAACTCCTTAACATTTGATAAAGACCCTCAGGAGCTTCTGTAAAGCAAAATGTCTGTCTAGATCATGAGCTTTCTGGGGATCAATAGAAATCATAGGTTTTTATTTTGCAATGACCTGTGCTCTCTGAGGATTAATATAAATCAAAAGCTCCCCATTCCAGTTCACTTTTATAGTCAGAAAAAAAAAATCATTCCGCAAACCTCATCCAAGACAGAGAACATGTGAGAGCACAAAGCAGAATTGGAGTAGTATTATTATCTTCAAAATGCATTACAATCAGAGGTTGATAATAATCGCAAAAATGAAAACAGATCAGGGAGCCGGAATGAGAATATACCCGTTGTGAGGTAGAGATACAAAATCTCAATAAAGAAATAGAGTGTCTTGAAAATGCTCAGCTATATCAAGCAAGAAATGATGTACGAGATAAGGATAAGCATATCTCTTCCTTAGAAAAGAAATTATAGAGTCCGAAGAGCAGGTTGAAAAATTGCGGTGTAGGATCAAGACCATCTCATCACGAAAAAATTCCCCGATAAGGGGAAATTGTATAATTCTGATGATAATATAGCAACAATAATAGAGCTAACAAATGCCATAGACGGTTTTGTGAAAATACAACAATAGCTAGGGGGATCTTGTTAAAAGGACGATAAGGCAGATTCGCCGAAAGGAGCATAAATTTGCAACAGGATCTAATCCATGAGCAACGGAGGCACTATGATGCATTAGCTGAGCGAGACAAAGCTATAAGGCAAAAATATTTCGCCGAAGGAATAGTAGATAGGGTAATTGGTAATATATTAATAAATGAAATGAAAAAGACGTTGGAATTTTTTTATATCGAGATAGTTCAGGAACTATTATGGAAAAATTTACCTCCGCTTATTGGATCAATGAAATGCTCACTATATACAGCGATGCGGAGAGAATATAGGTTAATTAGAATATAATCGAGATCGGCTCTATGGGCGATATGAGAAATAAAAAAAAAAAAATTCTCGTCAAATTATTTTAGCGCAATACCATACTAGTATCAGTATTATGCCAATATCAGTAATACGATAGTCTGTATCAGTATTATGCTAATATCGGTAAAATTGTAGTATCGGTAGTATCTGTAATATTAGTAATACTATGCTAGTATCTGTAATATTGTAATCAGTATATGCTAGTATCGCTAGTATTCATAAAAAATAAGGTGCTTTCCGAGACCCGAAAATTCGCACATAAATTTTTTTAGTACACTAATGACTAAGCCGAAAAAAACTATGTCCAATGTACATACCTTTAAGATATATCAAGAATAGAGGGACACTGGGTTCACTAAAGTAAACATCCCCCAGGTCATCGGCTTGTTAACATCCGTGAATCAGAACTTGAGAAGCATTGCGTGGTAGCATCAAAACTGCTTCTGATATTGCTAATGAATATAAAGACCTGCAGGCATATATTTAAAGCGAGTGAAGGATTTTAATCGTATCTGTTCTTGCATTAACAAAAAAGTTTAGCCAGCTAGATGCGGTTAGTTCTTATCACAACTTCGCATCGCATTTTCTTGTTTGCATTAACCCGCTCTCTATATTCCTTTTCTATGTCTCGCATAAACTTCCCAAAAGTTCTTTTATTATAATCAAGCAGGTGTTGATATAATACTTTAAGCTCGTTCATAACCTAGTGATTATTCTCTTCCTCGATCACAAGTAATGTTAGTCCGAGTATTAATCTGTGACATATATAGCCGGCAATGCTGGGGATACATTGCATTCTGGCCAGCTTCGTGGGCGCAATAATTTTTCCTGTTTAACGAATTCTCATAAACCTTGCCTTTTCATGTCTATTCGAAGGCAAAAAATATATATACCGTATTGCATTACTCTCCTTTTTTTATACCCCCATTCAAAATACCTGGATATTTTGAATTAGAGCTAATAATTAAATGTTACACAATAACACAGAATGAACTTAAATAAAGGTGAAGACATTTTATAAGCAAACAATTTGAATAAAAATTATTAAACATATTATTTGTAAGCAATTTTCTCGATAATAACTAGTTCGATTTAATTTAAATTTTTATACCTATACCTAATAAACAGACTTTTTATTTATAAGCTGTAAAAATTTTATTTAAATTAAATTAAGTTTTTATAAATCCATATCCGCTAATCCAATTTGGATAGAGTTTTTATACGTTATAAATAAATCTTGGTTTTATAATATTATTAAAATATATATATATATATTTGAAAACATAAAGAATAAGTTTACTTGATAAATTTTTCAAATATATTATAAAATACTCTTAAATTTTAATTTAAAAAAAAAAGTTTTTAAAAAAATAAATTAACTTAAATTGCTTGAAAAACATTATTAATAAAAGATTATTAAAATTATCTCAAAATAGATAAATTTGTTAAATAAGAATATATTTTATAATAAATTAATTTTTTTATAATTTTGCTATTAAAAAATTTTTGTTTTATTTAATAATTTAATTAAAATTTTATGTTAAAATCAAATTTTTAAAAGATTTTCAAATAAAAAATCAAATAATTTTAATATTGTTATTTAAACATGATAAGAAACATTTAATAATTTTTTTATAAGTTGAAAATTTTTTTTTAGATTTTATAATTAATTTTTTTAAAAAACCTATTATATAAAAATTTGTTTTCTAAACAGAATTTATATATAAATTTGTATTTAAAATTTGTAATTATTCAAAAAAAAATTTTAATTCTTGTTTTTTTTAAATCAGACTATATTTTTCAGTTATGTAAAGAAATAATTATGACAATATGTTTTTATTTTTTTGTAATTTATTATAAAAATTATTTTTATCAATATTATTATACTTGTTTAACTTATAAATATTTTTTAAAAAACATATATAAACAAAATTATTAAATTTAAAAGATTTGTTTTAATATAATCTTTACTTATATTTTATTTTGATATTACTTATTATATTATTTAATTATAAAATTAAAATCTGTTTATTTTTTAATTAATTGATACTTGATAATTGTTTAATTAAAATTTAATATATTATCTAAACAAAAACAATAAATTAGTTTATTAATATATTAATAATAACTATAATAATAATAAAAGTTATATTAACAAGTTATTAAAAATTAATAGAACAATAAAATAAATTAATTTAAAAGTTTTTTAAAGATATAAATTTTTTTTCTTATAAATTTTATAATTTATTTGATTTAGTTTTAATTTTAGTTACTTTTAATTTTTTTTTATTTTTAAAAACTTTTTTAAATAGATAGATATAATAACTATTTAATTTATATTTAGTAAATTAATATTAATTAAATATAATATATATGTATAAGCAAATTAATATTCTAATTTATTATATAATATAGGTAAAAGATATTGTTTTTTTCTAAATATTATATATATATATATATATATATAATAAAAAAATGAAATTTACTTATTTAAACAAAAAAATGATAAATTTATTAGCAGATATTGTACTATTTAAAAATATGTTTGGTTTTAAATAATAAATTTCTTGTATTATTGTTTTTTGATTAAAGTTAATAAACTTATTAATATATAAATTGATTATAAATAAAAAATATTAAATGTATCAATTTTGTTATTCAAATAAAGAAAATAAAAATTTAATCAAAAAAATATATATTTTAAATAAATAACCTGTATTTTGAAATCATGTAATTATCATAAGAATACATAATAATTTTATAAACAAATTAATATTTCATATAAAATTACTTTTTATTTAAGAAATATTATTATTCTTTTAATATATAAATTTTGGATATACTGTATACATCTAATAAAGTAATAATTTTTTTTAAACTTTATATGAGTGTCTTTTTCGAAATGGGTAATTATTTTTGAAGGCGACAAAAATGCTGGATGTGATTTTTTCGAACCCAACTTTTAAACAATACATATTTAGTATAAATTTTAGGATCACGCCAGAAAATTTCCGGTCCGCCTTCGAAAATAATTACCCAAATAGAAAAGTATTGAAATTACTGTATACAATTATACAGTATATAGAATTTTGAATTATATAAAATAATTGTAAAGGTAGAATTATATGCAAAATCCCAAAATCAAACAATATACGTATCATATTCTTATACAGTGAATATCACATTTAGCATACTTGATTAAATTCGTCATATTTTAAAACATCGGATAGCGATAATTTGTTGTCATTTAATCGCGTATCATGGTGAATAGGATTTTAATTATATAAATTGCTTTTTTTTTGATATATTGTTTAAAATCATATAATACAGTGAAAAAAAAAAATACAGTATAATCCGATTTCTTTATTTAATTTATTATCATACAGTATTAGAGATCGAAATCCTTTTTTCTTTTTTTTTTCAATCTTTAATCCTTTGAACCACCAAACGACCGTTTCACCATCCGCATCGAATATCAAAAGTATTTTTAAATTCACAAAGCGTTTAATTAAAACCATTCGAAATCTAATTTAATCATAATACGAGTTGTTTGAGGCGATTGTCACAAAATTGATTTGTTGTAACATGATTCTTTAATTGCCAATAAGTAACATTGATAAAATTATCGAACAAATAGATAATAAATCGTCCGTGTAACGATGTAATCGTTTTCTTAAAATTCAGACCATTGCACAGGCATTAGAATTACATGTTTACTAAAAATGACCCCTTTTCGTGTGACGTTCTTTGAAGACTCTTTCTTCCATCAAGGGCTTGTGACACCACTTCAAATCGGTCAGAAAAACATACTCCGGCCATTGAATGCGAGTGCCGTAGGTGAATATTCAATTTGGGACAATCGAACGGTGAAATGAACAAATCGAGGCACCATTATACAATAAGTATTTTTTTGTTGTGAAGAACTGTGGGTTGCTGGTCCCTGGCGTAAGTTGTCAAATTTGGTAGTTGCCGGTCAGTTTTTAATTATTTTAATTGTTAACGTCAAACTCATTGTTAAAAAAGTTAATCGAATGAAGCCGATTAATTATCCCACCTAAAAAAAAAAAAAAAAAAAAAACCTGCTAAACTATTGTACCAATGTTGGTAGCAGTCAAACAGCATTAATGAGACAGAAACAATTTGGGGTACAAACAAACAATAATCCATTCTGTGTCCCGCTCTTTTTTATTGCGTGCGCAAACACACAATAACCGATTTTTCTTTTATTTTTGCATGCCGTGACGCATGAGTTAATTATGTTGATTATTTTATCGAAGGTGCGTTGAACCTTAAGCGCATCTTATTAGCCACTACGTGGGAGCGTTTGTGGTGATTTTGTTCTTTGTGTATGAGCCTGCCGGAGCAATCACGTTACACCTTGGGTTAAAGATCCTACATGTCAGAAAAATTTAGATGCGTACGGATAGATAATGTAGTTCGATCTAATCAAAAAATATTTTCGATTCCTACACATTCTTACACATTACGTACGTAGATTACAGTATATGCCATTAAATTAGCATTCACCATATTATATGGTACAGCATAATAAACCTTAAACTATTTACCGGTATCATATTAACACGTTAAACTTTAGCATACATGCATGCCATTAATACATACGGGTGCCACTACATTCCCCGCAAAAATTGCTAGTGACAAAATCCCTTCCTTCCATTAGTCGTTTATTTTGTCCAACATCATTTTCTGACAACAGTATACAACAATTCAAATCACTTTCTCTTCACTCACAACAAAGTGAGATATTAACCATTCGTAACCAGGGACATTCCGTTGACAATAACACGAATCGTAAAAATTCTACACCTTATCAATAAAACGCAAAGCAAACTAAATGTGTGCAACCATGATAACGGTAAATTACTCTCCCCTGAGTTACCACCCCCCTGAACATCAGTTTCGTGAAAACTCTCACAAGAGAAAGAAGAGAAACCGATAGACCACGATCTGATTATCGAAATGACACACTGTAGTTATTCATTCATCTTGTAGTCTTTTGGTTGTTGGGCACAAACAGTTACGCACTTGCTATCGTATCAATAAACTGCCACGGTTTTTAGCGTCAATTGTTGTTTGATTATTACAATCGATTATTGTCAATTCGGGGTTAGCTCATTGACAGACAGTGGTGCTAGAGAATCGAGCCACTCTTTTTTTTTCTGGGGGAAGAACTTTTGGATCTCATCTAAATTATTTAAATATTACTTCATACACAAAAGTCGTTAACATCACAAAGTCATGAAGCTCATTTAAAAATTTCATGACAACAACGAAAGGAGATTCGTCAAACAATCGTCAACGAACGGACGAGTGAGTGAATGGGTGGGTGGATGGATGGATGGGTAAGTAAGTGAATAAATGAATGAATGAGTGAATGAATGAAAGACCGAATGGATGGATGAATGAATGGATGAATGAATGAATGAATGATGATGAATCAATCGATCAATCAATTGATAACATCCTCAGCAAGTCATCATCATCAATATTACCACAATACATCGTAATGCAAGCTTTGTTTGGTGGATGACAAGCAGCAGCAGCAACATTACAGCTCAGCAATTAATGATGATAATACCTCAGAGATTGTAAATCTATCTCGAACCGTAAATAGTGTAATTTGATATGAGATCAGTAAATTTGGTTAGCGCACTATAAACATTACAGATTTGTCTATGTGAATGAACCATATTAGATTGTATATAGTGTATACAGCACATAAATCTATACAGTACGACCGCAGAATTCTTTTTTTTTCTTTTTCAAGTTAAGAACAATAGGAAATAAGCGGATTGATTAATATGTAAATGATGAAAGGGTTGATTAGCTCGAATGTAAATGAATGACTGCATTGTAGAGCGCTTGTCAACATTAAAGTACGGAGGTGGTAAATCGAAATCGTGCATTGTTAAATCTGTTAAAAAAAAAAAAAAATCACGTTCGCCTATACGTATCTTGATTTCAATACGTGATTTTTCGTGAGAAACAAATAAATGATTAACACTCTCTTTAAACAGGATACCGAAACAGACGAGGGAGTTGTTTGTTTATGACGGGGTCACGCTGGCAGTTGGAAAAAACCAGTAAATTCGAGAAACTCGACACAAACACATCACGCATCGGTCGATCAACAAACATCATCGAACACTCGGACATCGGTAGCACTTTGGTAAAAGTGCGAATTGAACACGGAGAAACACTTGCCGAGCCATCCGGAAACATGATCTAGAAAATTCCATGAGAAAAAACGTTATTATTGTAAAATAAGAAAGAAGGAGAGAGGCACGAGATCGTACATGCATGTATTATTATTGTTTTTGTTATTGTTTTAGGCGTGAATGTTAGGTGAAATATCATGTCTCGCATCATGAACGGCTATCAAAACCAAATTATTGTTATCGTGACCGATCTAATCGTTTCCCAGAAACCCTTTCATTGTTCGTCACCAAAAAGTCATAATCTTTCCTGATGGATGACACCCTGCCAATTACACTTACAGCAAAAAAGAAATCACCTGTTCAGAAATTTCGTGGGAAATCGTAATTAATAATAACTCATCATTTTGGAAAAAACATGTTTTTTAATAACTTTCTAAATACAGACAGATTGATTCCTGGTCGTCGAATAATTGGCATGGTTACACCATCCGATTAAAGGCTCCATAGAATTCCATGGGGGTGTCATTTACATCCTTTATTTGACTCGGGAAACTTGAATTTAGAAATAATTACATTTACACTTGCATAGAATTCCATTCCCATGTATTATTACATTTTGTGCTATCCGAAATATGTGAAGCTATTGAAAGCCAATGTAAACAAAATGGCTTTTTAAAGTTTTCCTTACTGCAATCGTGAACGGAATTCGACGTTCAAGTGATTTAAAAAAAAAAAAAAAAAAAATTTTTAAGAATGAACTTGGTATTGTGAAAAAACCCCGGATCATTCGGTCGTGACACTTGAAATCGATCGAATTTTAACTTTATCTCCTTGAACATTTCTCCTCTTAATCGATCAGCCATGTATGGTGGTGTCAAGTTGATGATGAAACCTTCGTGAAAGAACATTGACACAGAATGGATGGGTGATAAAAGAGTGTTTCACAATTTGGGAAATCAAACAAATAAAAAAAAAAAAAAAAAAAAAAAAAAAAAAAAAAAAAAAAAAAAAAAAAAAAAAAAAAAAAAAAAAAAAAAAAAAAACGAACGACGGTGGTCTAGAAGGAGAAAAAAATTTTTTTTTTTTTTTTTTCAGATTACATAATACAAAGAAATCGGTAAATGATTATCTAAGATAAGAGGACAAAGTCGAAAAGAATGCTGTTCTATTAATAACCAAACGTTTAGCGGGAAAGACGAGTGGACGATTATTGAACGATGCCAGGGCATGAGAAAATTACATAGACTTGCATTTATTATTATTATTATTATCATTATCACCATCGTTTTATATCGTTATCATTATTTTTTTTATATAATAATTATTATTATTCTATTATTATTATTATTATATTATTATTATTTTATTTATTATTATTTATTATCATCATTATTATTATTATTATTATATTATTATTATTATTATTATTATATTATAATACCACATTTATTTTATTTCCTCTGGTTGCATGGTCTGCGGTATTGCGGTATTGTAAATTTCCCTCCTGGTTATAACCTCAGACGTTGTGTCACGAGCCACGCAGCGAAGGGATGAAGGGTGCATCGAAGGGTTTCTCAAAAGGTGATAGTACATATCTCTTTGCACGACCACCGAAGTTTCTGACAAAAAGTCCTTCCAACACAAAGCAACCATTATCATCTTTGAACAAGATGTTTGTTTGATTGTATCGACGAACCAATAATTTTTGGAATCATGCCACGTTTCAAAAAAAAAAAATTTTTCGCAAGAGCGAGCGTGAGTGGGTGAACGCGTGCAATGCGTTATTTCAATTATGGTCCCACCAAGCATCGACTCATCCTACCGAGGAGGAGGGTGAACATGGTTTGCGTAAAAACTTGACATAAAGAAAGCATGCAAGGTATGTACGTACGATGTTAGAGAAGATCCTTGAAGCCTAAATTAAGCAAAGAAAAAGAATCAGCTATTCCCTTACGCATATCGCATGAGCCTTTATTTATTTATTTATTTAGACACATATTAAAATAGTAATTTAATGTAATGGTGATTAATTAAATCAACAGGAAGGCTATTATTGTATTATTATTACTTTCATTATTACTTGATATTCAAGGTTTTTTTTTTTTTTCTTTTTCTTTTTTTTTTTTTTGAATATATGTGCATAGTATTGTAGATCACAGTTCCTAGGTAAGTTAGCTGCAATTTTATGCATGCTGTGCAATCCATATAATCCACATTGAATTCTGGCAGCTAACTCGTCAAGGTTCACAAAAAAAATTGTGACAGGAATCACACATTATAAGGGTAACTCTTGGTGACATGTACGTATGTCGTGGTAACAACATTCTTGGTTAAGATGGTCATAAAGAAAAATCAACTTTGCGGACTAGCTACGTCCGTTCGTCCGTCCGTCCGTCCGACGGTACCGTTCGCAAATCAATGACCGACATATGACCAATCACATTTGCTTCATCAAAATGGTTAATTCAAAAAGTTAATCAATGGGTTGAATTTTACTTAATCAGAAAAAAGGTTGATTTATCAAACATTTTTTTTTAATCTAATCTAATTACAAGAATGGTTCCTTTATCCGGTAATTAAAAGTTTATTCATCCCGTATTCCTCAAACCATTATGTCATGATTTCATCATGGATTTCTTTTACCACAATATTAATCAAGTGATCTTTCTTTCACGTGATATTGTATCGACCAATAACATGAGATTGAATTGTTTCCTTGGACGTAACGACGATGCGGATTATTAATCGTGTAAAGTAGGTTGGTGCCATGCTTCTCCGCAAAATGTGCAAACAAAACCACGTTCGATCAAGATCGCACAAAAAGTTACCTTACACAATTCATTTCGGAAACATTTCTCACCACACACACACACACCCAATACTTGATCAAGTCACTTTGCGAAAAATTCTCGTATTTGCCAATTCACGAAAAATTCTGTTTTTGCTTTTTTGTTCCTCAAATTTTATTCATCCGATATAGAAAAGAAATAATACTGCCATTCTTTTTTAAAAAAAGAAGAGAAAAAAAAAATCGAAAAAAAAAAAAAAAAAAATGAAACTCGATCTTTTCTTTTATGTAAAAAAAGAAGGAGAAAGATTTTCAGATTTTTTTCGATTTAAATACTATCTTGCGTATGTTTTTTAAAAAGAAAAATCGTAGTTTGCTTATTGCCTTATAAATCTTGATATAGTCTAATTGTATATACAGAAGAGAAAAAAGTGCGTGATGTGAGTGGGAAATCAAAAATTAATTTCGTAAGATGTTCTTATTGTTCATATGTTATAAGATAAACCCATTAAAAAAAAATGTAATGTGCGAAAAGTAATTATGTAAATTCTTTACAGAATTCATGATCGGTGCCCGTATGCGGATTAAAAAAAAGAAAAAAGAAGAAAGAAAGAAAGAAAAAGAGGAAGAACCCATAGGAATTGCATATTATATTCTTGATGCCAAAGTGAAAGAAAATGTACAAGATTTATAAGCAGAAATCAATCGAAAACCCGGAAAAAATTATCCCCGTTTCACGGAGATAAGACATTGTTCGTTTTTCTTTGAATAAATGAAAATTTCTAAGATATATATATGTATATATATATTTTTTTTTTTACGATTATATCACCCGTAAATTACCACGCCAAACCCAACCGTGAATCCGAATTAAAAAAAAATTTTTTTCCCATCCCCCCACATATAATATATACCTTGGAGGAAGAAAAAGTTGATAAATGTCTAATGTAAGTCCGAGTAGCGTCTTCTCGTCTTCATATTTTGAACCTCGGGTGAATTCCTGCAGGCCTCCTCCATCTTGAAGTGTCGGCGGAGTGCATCCGTGCGAGCAAACGCCTTGTGACAGCACGGGCACTGATAAGGCTTCACTCCGGTGTGAACTCGAATATGCCTTTGTAAATCGTGCTTTCGCGAAAAAGATCTTGGGCACATTGGGCATTGATATGGGCGTGCTGGGGAGTGAGAGCGAAGGTGTGCTTTGAGATTGTACAACCTACTAAATGTCTTTGGGCAATCTTCCTGTGGGCATTTGATGAGCTGTTGCTGAATCGGTTGTTGTTGATTCGGTTGAGTTTGTGGCTGTTGCGGAGGAGACGCTGCTGGTGGAAGGGGATTTATCTGCGCAGGATTTACTAAAACTTGATTTTGCGAATACTCGAAAGGAAGAGGATTCACGGTTCCTTGTGTTGACGCCATTGTTCGGTTGTCAATATTATTATTTTGCATTTGCAGCGACCACATCGCTGGCATCCCGTAGGTATGATGTGCGTTGATATTTGGAACGAGTGAGGGTGCATTACCGTTCATTGGGTGGGGTTCATAAATGATGAATCGCGTCGGTTCTGGGTAAGACGCTGGAACTCCGTTACTTTGATTTTGTTCCACAGATGAGGCGCCACTGAGCACATCATAGTATCGAGTGAAACTTTCGGGCGGCAGTGAAAAGGTGAACTCTTGTCCGTTGGCCACTGTCGGGGAGGTCGCCGATGACAGGGTTTCGCTCGAGGAATCCTCGCAAAGGGCTGATTGCGGGTAACCATAGTTGAACTGAGACCCCTCAAAATCGTTCGAGGCCATAAGATGAGGGGAAGATCCTGCGCTTGAGCCAGAATCCATTTCTTGAATAAAGGGATATTCTTCCAATCGAGAATCAAACTCGGTTTTGATCTGTATGTTGTCGTTATCGTTTAAATTGGTTGAATCGTCGTTATTACCGTAATGCGAAAGTTGTGTTGGATTTTGCGAATACAACAAGGTTGGCACAGATTGCTGAGGTGAGGTCGAGCCGGACATTGGGAGCATTGTATATTGATCTTGCGGCTGCTGCGGTGGTTGTGGTGGCAACTGTTGCTTTGGCTGTGTCTGGTAAAATTCGTTCTTTATGAATTGGTCTGTGTATTCGTATCCAACCGGAACGAAACTGCTTCCGCAAACGGTAAGGTTCTCGTACTGTTTTCCGATGTATGGCATATTGAGTATGTGGTGGTTGTCAGCAAGAGCGGTCATAAGTTGTCGATAGGCGTATATAAAGGTATTTTATTTATTATTTAGAAAGACGTAGAGGTGAGTCGGAAGGGGGTGTTATTTTTTTGCTTTTCTTTTTTTTTTTTGTTTAGTTTATACCCAAACAATACGAATATAAATATATAATCGAATTTAACAAGTCCTTGTTCAACAGGACGAACGAAAATTTAAAGTCTGAAGAAGAGGGTTTTTTTTTTTTTAATGAGAACAAAAAACGGTTTGTTTGTTGTTGAGAAAAAAAAAGTAGAAGGGGGAATTGCTACTTTTATATAGTAAGTAAATTTTAGATGCGGAACTGAATTGTTCGGATTATCTTAACAACTCACAATAACGGACACAGTTGATTGTGTATATATAATTTGGTATACCAATATAAATAAATTTATAGTACGCTATATAAATAAATACAGTATAGTATATTTCCTAGAGGTCTTTAACGAACCAAAAAAAAAAAAAATAATTTGCTTTTGTATTGTGTTTTTGTTTGGACAAAAAGACTCTGAAATTTTTTTTGCGCTTGGAGGGAAGTTGGGTGTTATATATACGTTGAAGTTTTTTGTGCATCGGTGACAAGTGAGTCTATCATAGTATAAAGAGCAAAATTCTATTGGGACACTTTAGAGATATGAAATCATTTATTATTCGATCTATAAAAAGCAATATAAAATCCCTAATTAAAAATTCAATGTATAATTATTTATATAATTTATTATTTAAAAAGTAATACATTAAACTACTTATTTTTACTATGATATCATGATGTACGACTCTTCGTTTCGTCACCGAAAAAAAATTGGGGGTGCCAAGGTGATTAGCGAAATGGGGCCCCTCTTCCTAAAATAACAAAGACCCCCAAATCCTAGAAATCACACATCATGGTGATATCTCAGCCAGATGTATGGCCGCGAAACAAAGTTTCACCTGCGAACCCCGAGATCGAAGAATGTGAGCATAATAGGGTTTGTGTATTCTCTCCCTGGTTTGGCATTTTCGTTGTTTCGCTTGCTCTCCTCCCGACCTCCCAAAAAAACAATAATCCATTCTTCTACTCATCCTCTCACTTGCAGCCGGCTTCATTGGTAAAAAAAAAAAATAATAATAATAATAAATAAAGATACACGAATTTTGTAATATTTTTCTTTTCCTAAATATCCAAAAACCACCTGACTTGATTTGTCGTGAATAGCGACGGTGACAATCGTGAAATTTTAATTGTCCTGATTTAAAACGAAAACAATATTATCATTTCCGTGATTCACAAACAATTAATCGCATTCGGACTAAAAAAACGTTCTGTTACTAACACCTCTCTACCACTAGTCACATTTTTAGAATTCAAAGGAATCCTTTTCCCCTCTTGTGATAGGTACGAACGGCAGATACATAAAAGTGCATTCTGAATACAAACAACTTAACCATCTAACAAATGCATTCCTTCCTACATGACAACATTCCGGAAATATCACTGATTCTTTCGTCGGAAGCTTTCTTGATTCCATCTCGGTAATAATTTATCCCTCAAACATGACTTGTTCCCGGGGAAGGGCGATATTACTGATCAATTTATCTCGATGTACCACCGATGATATAATCAACTTTTAGTCAGCTAATTAGAAGCCTTATCCAAATAAGATTATGTAATTTCTGGATATTCGTCTAGAATCGCGCTGACGTATATCACTTTTTGCGAACTGTCATTTCTGAGAAGGTTACATACGACCACGTCTTTTGAGCCGAGGTGAAATAAAGTTCCCATAATACAATTGGACAAACAAGAGTGTGATCGATTCCAAATATCTAACAATTTCGGGCAAGACAGTAATATAACATTTAGATTGGATAAAGTTTAATCACATTATTAATATCAGTGTTTGTAATATTTTTTTAACAAGAAATTGGTATGATTGATACATTAATCTATTCAACAATTGAGATTTTAATTATAGCAGGGTATGAGTAATTTTATTGTTGTGCCAAGATGCTTGTTAATTACAATTTCTTATTGCAGCACTGATTTGCCTTTTTAAAAATATAAACAATAACAGAAATTCACTGTATTGTATGTATGCATTTGTCATAAAATAAATGTTGATCTTATAAGATATTTCTTATTTTTTTTAACAAAATTTTGTTATTCTTTATTTTCAAACTATATTTAATAAATGATAAATAAATAGATTATTTATTATTTATTAATTAGTTATGTAAGAAATCTAATGAATTTAATAACATTAAGTATCTTTTTAAAAAATATTTAAATTATCAGAAAACAAGTTGTATTAATTAAAGCAGCTAAATATAAAGTTATATTAAAATAATTTTTTAAAAATTTTTTTGATATATAAAACTCATTAAAAATTTTAAAAAAAAACTTTTTAAAATCGTTAAAAAATTATTGAAAGAGTAAAGTGAACAAATATTAAAATTTTTTAACATAATCTTTTATATATTAGTAAAGAAAACAAATTTTTCATTTTAATTTCCTAATTAGTTCTATTTAAATAAAATTAAATAGCTATTTAATAATTTATATAGACTAAGCTATATTTAATCCAAATCTGATTCATATCTAACCAGATTTAAAAATTAAAAATTTGATTCGATTCATATCTGATTTGTGAATTATTTGGATTCAGATAAAAATTGTGATTCTTAATTACTGGAATTGATACTCAGGTACTGTGCATATAGAGATATAATGTGATCCTAGAAAAACCATGACTGTATCATATCAATCCTTCAATTAATTGAAGAACAAATATTATAACCTTTTACTATAGACCATGTACCATCCATATCAAAACTAACTCTAAGCTTGCCAAATTACCACTAGGAGGCCTTTCTATTTTTGTGATATAACAATAGCTTGCAAGGATATTACCATTTGAGAAATTATTTGTTATTTGTGTTATGACTGAGGAATTGCTTAAGAAACTACCTGCTTTTTACTAAAGATCAAAGCTCTAATTAAAAACTTTAAGGATATCTTCTTATTTGAATTGCCAAACCATCTGCTATCCAAGTAAACAGTGGATTACACTATTGAATTAATATTAGAATCTGAATTATCATCTCATTCTGTATATTACCTATTCTATATGAAAATGAATAGGCTGAAAGCAGATTTATTTCAAAAAAGGATTTATCTATTCTTTCATATTTCTATTTGGTATTTCTATCCTTTTTATATATAAAAGGAAGAATCATTAAGGTTATGTGTTAATTACTGTGCACTAAACAAAATCGCTATCAAAAATAAATATCTATTGTCAAAAATTAACAAATTAATGGATCAACTTGTGAAAGCAAAATTTTTCACAAAAATTGATTTGTACTTTGGATATAACCAAATCTATATTAATAAAAAAGATATTTCAAAACAGTATTCAGGATTCACTATGGTTATTTTGAATTTCTAATTTTGTTATTTGGTCTTACCAATGCATTAGCAACTTTAATAATTCTGATAAATGACATCTTTTAAGATTATCTGAACAAATTTATGATTGTATACTTGAATAATATACTTATATATAGCAAAACAAAGAAGGAATACTTGCATCATATCTGCACTATCTTATAAACTTTGAGAGAACACTAGTTGTATATCAAAATTTTAAAATATGAATTCTTTAAGTAGTGTGTTGAGTATATGAATTATCTGATTTCTGGAAAAGAAGTCTCTATGGATTCAAGAAAAATTGATATCATTCATGAATAGTCTGCACCATCAATGTATACATGTGGTGTAAATTATTTTGCTGTTGACTCAATTCCCAAAATCCTCAAAAATAATTGCACCATGACTCAATTATTTATATGTTT